TAAATGTTTAATTTACTACTTACAAGCTAGATTTTAAAAATGATTTTAAACATTTTATCGTTATTTTAGTTGTATTTATTAATAGTGATTAATCAAAATTAACTGATTGATCTTACTTTTTACCTTATATCACGTAAATTATGCGCATAAGTAAATACTATAACCTAGTAATAGTGGTAAAACTTTTGTATAGCCTACATATTATCAATCTATACACAGCTACTATATATTATATTTATTTTAAATTGGACTTTATATAGCGCCCTTCTATACAGCGCAAACGAATATTCATGAATGGGTCTTCCTTTTAAGTATTAAATATAGAATGCTTCAGCCACTGTAAATTAATAAATGTATAATTTTTCATTGTAAAGGGCATTGTTTAGCACCAAATCACGTGACTTTTAGACTCTTAGACTTCAAACCTGTATGTAAACTTCTCTGTTTTATATAATTTCTTAGGTTTAGCCCCAAGTTCGATTTAGTGCAAATTTCCAAGGCGCTAAATCGAGTTTGACTGTATTTTATTTCGTGTAAAGCGAACAGATGATGAAATAACCGCTTGCATTTATTTGAATTAAATCTCAGACAATACCCTAGAGGCATTCTATGAATATCAAGGCTAATTTAATAGTTCATTCGAGGTTATTTGTGATAGATTTATGTTACAGACAATACAAATTCCAATATTGAATTCTAATTCCCATAAATATCCAAATGATTTATGTTTGAGTATTTTATTTTAAAAATCAAAACCTTAATTTTAATTGATTTTATTTGAAATTTTTACAGATATTAATTAGCCTATTTTTTTAGTATGAGGAAAGAAGCATTGTCTTATTTTTGCCAGAAGGGGTCAGCTGTATAATACGCATTTCATCCTCTTATTCTGTACTTGTTAATGGAAGTGGATCTACATCCTCTTACATTGACATTATATCAAGGTTTAACCTAATTTAACTAAATATTAAAACTTCAGGCAAATTTAATTTAAAAAATGGATATGAAATATTTATTTTTATTTCTCTCCTGTCAACATACAGGTTTACATCATTATAACAATGCTTCAGATCAGTAAATTTGATTTTTTATTATATAAATGTATTTTTATCTACAGAAAAATGTTAGTATTAGCTAACATTATTTAAATTTTTTTATGGAAATTAATATATTCTCTCTCCAAATGGTAAAATTGAAATAACCTGTGAACAACGTCTAGTGACAGGAACAGAAGGTGTTCGTTGTACCGAGACGGCTGTTATTTGGAGGTTCTTTTGTAGAGGTGGCTGTTCAACTTTATAAGTAAAATAATTTTTAGTCCAGATGTTGAGCTTCACACCTCATCACCCAGCTGTCCTCATAGTGGACCTTGCTAACTTCATAGTCATCATGGTTTCAACGTTTCCTCAGTTGCAACTTATTGAACACTGCTTAAGTTTACTGAATTTAAGAAGTAAACTTAAGCATTCAAGGGAATTTCAAACAATTCAAACACTTAAATATTATATAAATAAAGCCAATTTGGATAATTTGAAAAGGTCTAGTACAAAATAGCAATTTCAAAAGCAAAATAGACGATGAAAGACAATAAGGACATTCTTTTAAGCATGGTAAATAGAGCATTGAACGACGTGAAAAGAAGTTGTTTATAATTTATAATAAGTGAAAATGAATTATATAATCTCCTTAAATAGTAGAAAATAGTTTTAAAATGTTTGTCTATTTTATTCATTATGTGTTTATATTTATCATTGTTTATTTTAAGGACAATTGATCTTTAAACCAAAACAAATAAGACAATTTATTTGATTTTTTTAATTTAAATTTTACACTTAGAATACAACTCTATAAAAATTACTTAAATCTAAACAATATTTATTTATATTATAACTAAAACTGTTGAACCTAAAATGAACAGTACATTCTAAATCATTAAAGAAAATAATTCAATAATAAACTTACACATAAATTATGTGATTGACGTTGTACAATCATATTTATTGCAATAACTTAAACTGTTATGGCACTTTGAGTCCCTTGCTTTTACAACTGCATTTATTCGTGGAACACTTCTTTTTGCAATGACAGCGTGTACAGTCAACCCCCCTATAACACTGTAGATAATTCCGTGTTATATGAATTCCATGTTGTACGAGTCACTTAGATTTTATAAATACGTGAGCCGTTCACAGCCCGGCACACGTACAGTATTTGTAAAATCTAAGTGAACAACATAAGTACAACGTAAGTACAACATGAAATTCATATAACACGGAATTATCTACAGTGTTATAGGGGAGATCTACTGTATAGCCTTACTCTTCACTTTTCGAATTAGCTGTAACTGCTTCTCTCAGCGATATTTCTTGAGAAGAAATCTCATCTATGAAAAGTAACTTTTCTTTACAAATTACGAACTGATTACGTTATTACGTGATTACGAACTGATCTGTTAATGGTGTCTTTTATTCGAATATTGCTGACGCCTTACCGACGACCCCTCTCATCCTCCGTTACTCGACCTGACTAACCGATCTCCACCTCACGGGATCAAAAGAACAAAAACATCATTTACTGACAAAGTAGGCGATTTCCACCAAACCGTTGCCGGGAAAAGAGGTACGACCTTGTCTTACCTCTGACTACCCGCAAAGGATTTGGCGACAGACTCTCTGTCGACATCGGCTTTTCGGGTGTCGTTTCGACCTTCACCAAAGCTTATCTGTGCTTGTCGACATACACCGGCGATTGTTCGAATGTATAATAATATAACCAAATATTCGGTCTTTCACCGATGTATTTTGTACGTGTCGTCATTCACCGGAGAATATCGACATTCTCTAATTTCGGTCTTTCACAGTAACATATATATAGATAAATAGATAAAAACCCAAATTAAATTTTTATAAATTTTACTTATCACTTTCAGAATTTTTTAAAAACAGTTTCCTTTAAAAATCTTAGCAATAGTCTTTTAACCTGAATGAAAAAAAGCTTTAAAATAATCTATTTTTGAATTTTTATATAATAGGCCAGGGCTTCTTAAACTTTTTTTATTCACGACCCCATTTATGATTGTGATTTTTTTCGCGACCCAAAAAATATAAAATAAAGATATAGGCTATACAAATTTGCAAAAACAATAATGATGTGCTACCTGGTCTCTTGTGTTACAATCAGGGCTGTGGAATCGCGTAAAAATCTACCGACTCCGACTCCGACTTTTCCTTACCATCCGACTCCGACTAGGGGCAGACTTGTTACCGAAAAAGACCCGGAAATTCTGATGTCATCACGTGACCTCAGAATAAAATATTCAATAAATAAAGTTGTAATAAAGATAGAGCGTAGAAACTTTTATTCCAAAGCTAAAAGACTTCTCTAAGTAATATATAAATATGTATTCGATAATTTTTACTTTTCCGGCTGTTATACAGAAGGAAAGTGTAGCGCTCGGTCAAAAAATGACCCCGCCCAAATTTTTACATTTTTGGACTCGGAACACCTTGAAATTTCGAGATATGCAAAAGATTCGAGGTTTTTTCTATGTGTGGATGTTAGACTGTGTGTGGGGTGCATGATTTCGTTCACCCTGTTTGAAGCCTAATAATTTCTGTAGTCAGAGTGGTCAAAATCGGAGTCGGATGGTTTAACACAGGAGTTAGTTATTTAAGTCAAAGTGGTTGAACTAAATCATTCTAACATCTTAAGCGAGAACATCTTAACAGGTTTTACTGTATTATTATAAAATGGCAAAAAAGCTTACTTTGAGGGTAAAGATGAGTTTTGTTTTATTTTTTTAAATTTTGAACGCTAATAACGAGTAAAATATTCATTAAGAGATATGATACATGACCACTTTTATGTCTTCACCCTGTCGACCTTTAATTAAGAACCAAAATTTAATAGTATTAATGCCCCTTTATACGCAAGCTACAGTGCCACATTTCGTTTCTTAAACTTTACCCATTCTGAGATATTGTTTAATATCTCAGAACAGAAAATAAAGAAATTAAACAAATTAGACGCCAACACACACGCGCGCGCGAATTTTTCCCCTTTATTGACTTTTTTGAGGGGTTCGGGAGTTCTCCAAACGTGTAGATTTGCAAAAAAAAAACTTGGAGGGTCAAATTTGACACGATTCCAATACTTTTCCGTTTTATATACATAACAAGTTGGTAAGTAAAAAGGAGTCGGAGTCGGCGGATTTTTTGACGACTCTGACTCCGACTCCACAGCCCTGATTACCTTGGAACAGAGACAACTGAATACACTGAAAAGCGACAACACTGCACTAGTTCACACTATAATCAGTGTTACTGAATCATTGTCTCCCTGCACCAGAAGTGACACAAAGAGCAACTCACGAAACCTATGACACAAAGCTTGCCATTTTCAAACTCACAAATTATTTTCAATATTTTTCATTAAAATCTCGCGACCCCAAGATTTCGCTAAGCGATCCCAAATGGGGTCGCGACCCATAGTTTAAGAAGCCCTGTAATAGGCCTATACCCTATATTTTCTTAGGGAGTATTAAACTATCTTTATAGATCATAGATTATAAAACAAGATAATGCACGCAGCTCACTTTGTAATAGAAAAATATCAGGTATTTCGTTTCCGTTGAGTTTTCTTCAGTACTAGTTTCTAGGATGTTGACACCTTTTTTTAATGTCATTAACTTTCATTGCAAATTTCCTCGGTTCTGTTAACAAAAGTAGCTATGTCTAGAGAAATAAAAATTTCTAGACAATAATCAATACCTTTCCAACCGACGAATAGTAAAATCCTTTCGATATTTAATAAAATCAACCATCTGTTAATTGTGTCATTCGTATCGTAAAAACCGTAACTTGCTGTCAGTGTTATGCAAGTAGCTCTACTTGTTATGATAATTTATCATATATAACACCCGAAGAGTGATCATAATAAGGAAAACCTGCTGATATTTTTTATTTATTCGCGCGTAAAATCTAAATTAGTGATACTGAAAGATGTCGTGCGATACAATGCGTCTTTACTGTTTATGCTATTTTTCTTGGATATTGATTCATTACGGCTTTACTCATCCGTTGGAGTATGATTATATAGTGGGTGAGTATTTTTTCAATTATTTTTATTATATTTAATAATAATAGTTTATATTCTTCACTCTTGAAGTGAAGCATCGAAGTTTCGTTGATGCCAGCTCGAAAAATGATAAATTGTTACTCGTTACGATTAATTTTGAATGCTTTAAACATTGTTACAAATAGTTAAAGTAATCAATTATTCTTGTTTTTATACATATAGTCATCATATATGAGTGTGGATTAGGTCCTCTCAAACTCGAGTGTTCTTGCTCTCTCCACCTTTTTCTTGGTCTTCCTTGATCTCCCTTTCTTGTAAATGATACCGTAGGATATCTCTTGTTACTGATATTCCTATACTTCTTCCATTAACTTACAGCTCTATTGCTGACCTTCAACTGCTTTCTTTGATGATCCATTCATGTAATTTACAGAAGTGATCTCAAAAAACGCATTTCAGCATTCTCTAATTTTTTAAATCATGTAATTTCTAAATTAGTTGGCATTAAATTATGGGAAAATAATCATTTAAAGTTAGTATTTACTTATGTAAGAGTTATGTGATTATAAACCTTTCATTAAAATTTAAAAATTCTTTATAAGAATTAGAACTTTGCGTTGACAGTTTTTAGCTAATGACTATCTGCTAACCTTTCTCATTTAGCGCCTAGGGCATAACGTGCGCTAAATGAGGGTAATATGGTACACTCTGTGATACTTTTACTAGTATAAAAGTGTCATAAAATGAGAAATTTTTTTCATTTAATTTAAAGAATTTATCAATTTATTCGGCTGCATTTCCACTGTCATCCGTCCGTCTGTCCTTCATTAATCTTGAGAATAAAGTTAGATGAAAATCGAGGCCAGATACGAAAATCTTAGAAACCGGAAATCCCGATTAACTATATACGAACCTCGGGATTTAATTTAAATAATAAGAATTTTATAACAATGTATGTAAACTTTGCTTTTTAATAATTATATAATTTAAAATAAATGTTAGAATAAAATTTATATTAGCATATTTCTATAACCAATTTTTATCTGAGAAAGAAAATATGCTACGTAATTATGGGCTGGTAAACTATGTATACATTTACAAAAAATGATTTGTGTATTTTCGTGAGCAATTTACAGTAGAATAAGTTAGCTATGTGTTTCCTTTCTTGTCTCTGTTAGAAAAAACACGTCGGAGGAAAGTAACATTTTAAATTCGACGTTTCAGTCTTGAAAAAAATTTTAAAAAAGCATTCCTGGCATAATTATATGTTCTAAAGGTAACAATAAGCTACGTTATCATATTACGACATCTGGCCTTGTTTTGTTTCCGACATGAAGAATCCTGGTTCGAGTTCAATCCGAATAGTAAAGAGAATAGCTTTGATTAGTATTCTCTATTCATATTTGCTGACCATATACTCTATTATCTTATTGTAATCTGAAAGAAAAATCTAATTCAATGCCTCTACAATCAGGAAACTTACAAGTTACAATAGTGACAGAGTACTTTATTTATCCAGCTATACAACTTTAAAGAAAAAAAATACTTTTAATTTATAAATAAGAAAACTATATTCTTATAAACTATACTTTATACCAGCGCTGTCCAACTTATCATAGCCCGGGGGCCATATTTTCTTCACCAAACATTTCGGGGGCCAAGAAGGTTGATAAACCACACGACATTTGCATAGTGCTACGGTTCAGTAAGCATTAATTGGTCAGCGAGTCCGATGTTGACGCTATAAAAAGGCGACAGTTCGACACACCGGATATACGTCACTCTCGTCTAAGTTCGACTTGGGAATTTTTTTGTTCAATAATAAATGTGAATTCTTCTTCCTGGAAAAAATAAGACATTCCCTGAAAATAAGACCTAGCGCATTTTTCAGAGCAAAAATTAATATAAGACACTTATTTTCGGGGAAACACGGCAGTAAAATAATTTTAATATTAATAATAATAATTTAGTAACATAAATTTATTCATAGTAAAATGTAGTCGCGGGCCGTATACGGCCCGCGGGCCGCCAGTTGGACAGCGCTGCTTTATACAGATCAATATTATTTTTCCGGCTGTTATATATAACAGAGGGAAAGTATAGCGATCGGTCAAAAAATGACTCCTAAATATTTTTAATTTTTGGACTCAGGGGATATTGAAACGTCAAAGAAAAAAAACTTGGGGGTTTTTCTGTATGTATGGATGTTAGTGTGTGGGGGGCATTATTTGAAGCTTAATAACTTCTGTGCTTTTTGTCGAAATTTTCTGAAATCTGGCAGTGAGGTTTCTGTATTAGTAGGATTGATACTATTAAATTTTGGAGGTTAAAAGTCAACAGGATGAGGAGATAAAAGGGGTCGTGTGTAATATCACCAGTGGGATCGGACTTAAAGGTGATTTTACTCGTTATTAGCATTTACAATTTTTTATAAAACTTATTCCTATTGTCAAAATTAAGCTTTTTGCCATTTTATAATAATTAAAAATGTAAAGAGTTTTTAATAACAAAATATCAAAACAGATGGCGCCACCAAATGTTGCCGGAAAAGTTAAGCAACTCGTTGCTGGATTTTTTCTTTAAGTAATATAAGGACGCTGTAATAGAGGAATAGTCCACTTTTTAAGAGATCGTTAAGAGTTTTCGCTTGTTTTGGATTTTCGATTTCTAAAAATTTGAAATATTTTCTTTTTCTGTTGATTCACTTATTTTAAAAATGAATTCAACTCAGGAAGATGACAGAAGCGAAACTAAAAATATAACGTTAAGTGTAATAAGGATGTTTGATGACGAAGCTAAAAATAGACATTAGTTGTCAAGCAACAAAATGAGCAGCTCATGCTACTAGCTTAAGTGACAGAACTATTGTAAGGATAAGATCCGAAGGTTAAAAATTGGAGGATACAATTAATGTAACACAATAAAATACTTCTAGAGAATGGAGAAAAGCTTTTCTCTAGAAATGTTTTATGGACTCACTTCTATTGCCGTTTAACGACAGTTATTCTAACAATATCTTCTCTTATTGTTAAAAAGTGAATAAACTGACACACATAACAAGATAATATTTATCGTTCAGAAGAAAAGTACAATAAATTGGATTTTAAATATAACTCGTTTTACATTCACATTACTTTTATAACTCAACTTCTCATTTCAGAGAATGGAATCTTTTAACCAGAGTCGTCGATAGGGAAAAGCTGGTAATTTTTCCTCAGAGGAAACTTAGTGCCCGTAGTGGTCTAAACCCTTATATTAATGTTATTTTTTTTAGCAAACAAAAACTATTTATGACTGTCTTTAATTAATAAAGAAACATTCTACATATTTTGTTTATTTAAAAAATCTGGCAAAACAGGCCACCTAATGCATAGAAAAAACCCTCTCTACTCCCGGGCCACGTACAGTATATCACAAGCTTTTGCAGCTTTGCTTATAACTACTACTACTACTCCTTCATGCGGCTTGAAAAAGATCAGAGGCAGAAGGTCTCTGATCTTTTTCAAGCCGCATGAAAGTCGCACGTGAAATATAAATGTGCTGTACTGTACAGTCGAATCTTCAATTAACGGCTACCTCTAAACGGCATTCATTTTTTCAGGAACATCCAACAAAAATGCATTAAAAAATAACTCGTAAACAACGACCACTTTTTATGTTCCGTTAGTGGCCGTCGATTAGAAGTTTGACTGTCTATGTAATTTATACTTTATACATTTCTTTGTTCTGGCTAATGCGCTGTATGATGTATACGTTACTATTTATACTTTGGTGTTACTTGTTTAATTTATATATGCACCCACTTATGACTTAAACAAGTAACACCGAAGTATATAGCCATAGTAGAGGAGCTATAGCCTTTATGGCTTATATTGCGGACAGACGAAATATAAAATGGGGTGAAAATAAGTGTTAGGCGCTTGTATTCTTTTAAACTAATAAAATTCCATTTAAATATACAGTAGAGCGTCGTTTATCCGAAGGTCGGTTATCCGAAACGTCGATTATCCGAAGAAATTCCAGTCGGCAAATTTAAATTTTCGCCAGTGCTGTTGCGCTGTAATCTTTGGCTATGTCTTCGGCTACTCAAATATTTTACGTTTTTGATACTAAATTAACTTCTGAAGTATAATTTTTTATTGTTTTTATATTTTTCAATATATTTATTTTGTTCGTACAAAATAAAAAAATAATTTTTAACTATACAATAGTCTTCGTTAGGCTTTACATCGACGAAAATTCAACGCGAAGCGACATGCAATGGAGAGAAATTTCAACATGGGATAAATTAATATATTTTTTCGTACATGATTCGTTATCCGAAAAATAAGTTATCCGAACAACCCCAGTCCCCAATTGATTCGGATAAACGACGCTCTACTGTAATGCTAAATGTAAACACGCTCATGAAATTTATAATATAACATGGCATCTATCTGAAATTGTATATGACCTTACAATTCAGAAAAGCTTTTTCATTTATACTCTAAGTCATTCATATAAAACTTAGATTCTATATAAAAACTTCCTTATTATCTCTAATAAAAAATATATAGGAAATTCCCTCAATATATATATAATTATTTTTACTGAAAGAAAAATATTTCTAGTTTAATATAACCTCCAAACAGCGGCCACTTCCGAACAATGGCCCCTTTATCTTCCTGTCAGGTCGTTATTCGGAGGTTCGATTATAATTTATAAAATTTACACGTAGAATAACACAGTAGTTCGCGTGTTTAAAGTATAAGTCATATTTAATATTAATTTAAAAAAGAAAGAACCTATTTCGATTATTTATAGCTTATTAAACTAATTATGAATGGATTAACTTTATAACTCTTCGTAAATAAAAATTGTAAAGTATTAGTCATTAAAATTATGTTATATAATACGTCGAATTGATGAACCATAAACGAAGAAACAGGACAATGATATTAAATCTAGATTAATAAGAAGTCAAGAGTTTCCTTATAAGATATTATTATAATTACGTGCTGTTAATGCTGTTCATAAAAAAGCTTAATTAAAATGTTAATTAACAAATGTTGTAAAATTATGCATAAAAAGAAAATTATTAATTTAAGCATAATTAATTTTAAATGTTTTTTAGTTTTTATTCTCTTTTAAAGAGTTTTTGAATCGTATTTAAACTAATAGAATCAAACCTCTAAACAACGGCCATTGACAGGAACATAAAAAATGGGCATTGTTCGGAGGTGGCCGTTGTTTTGAGGTTAATTTATAAACATTTCAAAACGAAACGCTTCTAAAAATTGATCGTCGTTATTGGAGATTCGACTGTAGTTTGATTTTCACAGTTAATTAATTATGAACTTCGTTACAATATTTCTTCGTTTACTTCATTTATTTTAACATAATAATTTGCTGTTGGTTTGAGAGAAATGAGGGTAGCGAGGGCCTAGCAAAAAATAATACATATTATAGACCAACAGTCTTCAAAATGTATTTTGCCAGGTCCTCGTTACTCTCTGGGTGGCCTGCCAAAGATAGAGAAAAAATTTTGAATACAAATTACCTTAAACTGAGTATAGATTAGACGTATATACTGTATATAGTCAAACCTACAAACAATGGTTAATGACTGGAACATAAAATATAGCAGCTGTTCGGAAGTGGCCGCTGTTTAGAGGTCGCCATTGTTGGGAATTGGCCATTATTGGAGATTCGACTGTATTCGTTTCTACTTTCATCTTCAAGAGAATTTACTTCTTATTCTCTAATTTGCATACATATTGATTCAAATAAATCGTGATGGTGGAGGTGATGGTCTAAGTCAGGTGTTTTTCACAACAAATTAGATAATAGAAACACATCCGACGACGGCGTGTCACGGGGAGGGGTGCGGTGAAAAGCGAGTACAAGTGGCTGAGAGATAGAAGCAGTGCCTAATCCTCGTTAATCGATTCAGAACGATTTTTAAATGTTTTTTTTTTTTTTTTGATAAAATAAATAATATTTGCGTATGGAACTAAAGAGCCGCAGCTTCACATCCAAAGAGCCGCATGTGGCTCGCGAGCCGCGGGTTGCCGACCCCTGGTGTAAGTGGATAAAAACTAGTGAAGACTGATAATTGAGCGCGGGTTCGCTCGCACCTAACAGCTTGACTACGTAAAGTTTTCTTCAGGAAGTCAACCTATTAGGTGCCATTTTTCCATTGTGAGTCCTCCCACATGTTGTGTTGCCGTATGCAAACAAACAATTAATTAAATAAGCATGCTATTTCCTTACAAAAATTAAAAAAGTTCTGTGTATCATGCAGGGGTGTCCGTACGTTAGGACATATAGAGCACTTGTCCTCCTTTTCGTCTGGGTTGCCCTTTTCCTAATCCCAAAGAGAGCCTCAAATTTCATTATCAATAAATAATAGGAAATCCGTGACTTCTAGCAAGCCTATTCAAGAAACTAATGTTGACTAAAACTTTATTCCTTGTTTTCAAGGCCATGTTAGCTTCGAGTGCCACCTTGTGGGACTGCTGATCCGACGTTGAATCGCAGAGTTTGAAGCTCATTGCATATTGTACGATGCCCGTTTTTATTTTATAGCTTGTGCCCGTCTTTTTGATAGTCTGCGGGCGCCCTGGCATCATGTACAGTACCTCTACATGATGCCTTTCACACAGTGCTCTTTTACTTTGTATAGCAACACCAGATTATACTAAGAAACTTTAATTTTAGCGTTGTACCCATTGCTCCCTAGCGGTGGCGTGACTATTATCTCTATTTTAATGAGAATATCCAACGATTTAATCGTAAAATCTATAAAATAGAAGGTTGCTTTATCTCTACATAAGTTTATGATGCAAAACCTAGCTGAAAACGTTTCTAGTATCAATGAATTTTTCCATGTCCTTAATAAGCAGATGTATCGACTATACATAGAAATAATTTATAATAAATTTCATTTAAAAATAAACGAGTAAAATTAAAGGTGTAGAATAGTGTTTTTCTCTTATCTCCATTAAATATAGGTTTAAATGATTTCGATTTTTGATGTGATCTCGATTTCCTTGGCTCCATTACAGTTTGATAATCCTCGTATATCTCCACCAAATAGTTGTTGAGATAATTATTTAATGTATTTTATTAGTATAAAAAGTTTATTTCTTTAATTTAAATATATGTATATTGAGGTTGATTATTTGTTAAAGTTATTAATAAGTAGATAATATGATCGAAATTAATTTTATCGTAAAATCCTGTCTTAGCTGGTTTTCTTTTTATCTTTAAAAAAAGCAGAACATTTTTTTACAATTTATTTAACCAGTTTAAGTGCTATAAATGTAATTATTCTTGATTATATAACAGCTATTTCTGATTACCTAAATGATATTTAAGCAAGTTTTTATAAATTTTTACTTGATAAATATTATCGATCGCTGAGGTTTGTTTTCCTTGTAATTATAATTATATTGAGTCGATATTAAGATACGTATGACCTAAATTTACGAAATAAAAAGTGCATTTCTTTCATACTCATTTTATAAATATTATATTCTATTCGTTTTAAAGTTTTTAAAAAGTAAAATTAACTAAAAAAACGTTTAATTTACCTTTTAATTTCGTGTAGATTAGTCAATAATGTCGTCAATTTAGTTAATGTTCTAACAATGTTAAACTTACTTTGCTTAATATTTAAAATCTTATATCTTATCAGGCCGTAGAGATTTTATAGGGCCAGAGATACAGCGGGCCCCTTTGCCATCTTCTTTTTGAACTAGAACAAATGAAATACGTAGAATGTTTATTAATAAAAAGCAGTCTTAAAAATTGTATTTTCTCTTAGTAATAGTCAAATTAAGTTTATAGATTAGTAACACTATGGACTCCTAACTTCTTCCCTAGGTTTGTGATAAAATTCCCAGTCCCCTACTGATAGCTTTGATCATATATAAGGGACCCTGAAGTATTACGTCAGCAGTTTATTTGGAAGGGGGCTGATAGATGCTGACGATGAGAGAGTCTTTGATGACATAAGATTGCGTTAATTTTTCTCTCCAGTCATAACAAAATTTTCTGAAAATAATTCATGTGTACAAGTATTTGTGAAGGGTTTTAACTTCTGATCTGAAGACATAATTGTGGAAGGGATATCTTTATTTCTAATGACTGATGATAGTGAGGAGAAGAGGGATTAAAAAATGGAAAATTTTACTGATGTAATACCTGAACACTCCTAACGTTGCTTGTATGAATAGGGATATAATGTACACTTCAATTACTTTTGCTATAAAATACCACTCACTATGTCTCGTTTTGATTAAAAACTAGAATCAGGACATTGTCACTATTGTTATCATTGCTAAATCAAAAGATTAAAACATAATCATGCAAAATGTTTCAACAAAAATAAGAACAAATCGTATTTAAATATCAATTACTGCATAATTTTTCTCAAGAATTATGACACAAAATCTGTAAGTTTTCTTAAGATTCTAATTAAGGAAATAGTAATGTAGTATTAATAATAATATTTATAATCAGCGAAACATGAAAAAAGAAATTAAAACTATCGATCGTTCTATTTTATATTGATATTATCTTTATAATTATAATCCTATCAGAAGATTATCCTATATCAAAAGATATAGACAATGACTTATTTAAGAAAAATACTGAAGAAATTCAATTGTTCTTGAATTCATTTATTCAAAGTGGTCGAAATTTAAGTCATTTATTAAATAGATAATTGCTCAAAAATAAATTTTGTTCTTAAAATTATTCTATTTTCATTAAGAAAATCCAGCAACGAGTTGCTTAACTTTACCAGCAACATTTAAAACTGTGTAGTGCCATCTGATAATATTTTATTATTAAAAAGTTTTGTATTTTTTAAGTATTATAAAAAAGCAAAACGCTTAATTTTGAATGTAGGGATGGGTTTTATATTAAAAAATTTAAACTATAATTAGGAGTAAAATCGTCATTAAGTCCGATCCAACTGGCGATACAATGGATCCCTTTATCTCCTCACCCCCTTGACCTTTAATTACCAAAATTTAATAACCAATCCCGCTAATAAGCAAACCTCCCTGCCAAATTTCAGAAATTTTCGCCAAAAAGCACAGGAGTTATTAACCTTCAAACAGAGTGAACAAAATCGTTCCCCCCACACACTAACACCCCCAATTTTTTTTTGCATTTCTCGACGTTTCAATTGGGACTTACTGTACTGTACCTTAGACATTCATTATTATATCAACACTTAAATACGGTCCTGTGGCCCATAGAAAGTCTATCGGGAGGGACCCTCCTACACATATAATGCATTGCTAATTTTCTAATTCGATAGTATTAATCATTTGATAATTGAAAGTAAATTAAAAATTTCAGTCGGATGTGGTTCTGCGGGATCAGTTGTAGCTAACAGATTATCAGAGGATCCGAAATCTAGTGTATTACTTCTAGAAGCGGGAGAAGAACCAAGCCTCTTATCTGATGTCCCCCTCCTCCCTTTGAAACAATTATTATCGACAAAAACGAGTTGGGGCTATCGAATGGAACCTCAAAAACATAGTTTTTTTGGATACGATAACCACGTAAGTAAATTTTATTTATTTTTTTCATCAGTTACTTTTTCTATAATTTATTATTACTCAAATCATCTTTTAAGTTTATTAGTAGTAATTCAAACACAAGTTATTATTGTATTTATTTTCAGGCACTTGGCAATTTTTATCATCAAATTTTATTTAGTTGATACGTGTTGATATTATTTACACACGTTTCGGGCATTTATTGCTCCTCCTCAGCCAACTAAAAACAAAAGTTCATAAGTTACAACATTATAAAATTATAAACAACAAACATGTTAGGTATTATTATTTTTTAAAATATACCTTTTTAATTTACAGGCTATCAAGATATTAAAACCACAGATTTCCATCACCTATGTTTACTTGTTGTTATGGAATTACAAAAACTTCTTGGCCCTTAACACACTTTAATCTAAGAAACATACGGTTTTATATTATCTAAAATATTTTAAAAACCTTTTTTATATGGATTTTCTCTTATACATTTACATGATAACAATACAATGAAGTACGTACCTAATTATCTGTTTTTCACTGTTATAAAATTTAAACAATCTCAAATTTTTCTTATACATTTACAATTAATTTTACAACAATACTAAAATTGACATATTTGTCTTTCATCAAAATCATGCAATTCCCTCTTTTTACAAACTCATTGGGATGACCTCTCCTCCCCCTTTTTTGTTTCCCCCAGTTAAGCGTACAGTACAATCATTCATGGTGCAATGATCATGGAAGGCAGAATTTAGTCTATTGTATTTCAGATCCGCTATATGTTCTTTTAATTTAGTTTTTAATTTCCTTTTTGTTTCTCCTATATAATATTTATTATTGCTACAAGTACAATGAATTTTATACACAACGTTCTTAGTTTCTGTTGGTGGTTGTTGTTTTTTCTCATTTTCGAACTGTTTTAATTTTGTATACATTTTTTGGTATGACGGTGCTAACTTAAAGTGCATATTGCTTATTTCATTATCAATTTGTTCGTGTAATCCTTTAATATATGGAAATCCAATATACTTAATGCTATTTGTTTTTTTATTATTCTGTTGTGTTTTAGGATTATTTATCTTAAGTTTATGTTTTCTGGGGAAATATTTATAATAATAGTATAATTGAAATTCTATAAACGTTTTTTTAGTAATATTAAACTTTAAAAATTAAATATATACAAACATCATGAAATATATTTAACTAAACAATAGAACTATAAATATAGTTTCCATCAGGGATGGACTTAGACTTGTGGACCGAAACTATACATAACAGGCCTTCTCTTCCACCAAATAGTTTTCCAGAGTTTTCTGGGCTTTTTTCACAGTATATAACATAACTAGAAGTCCTCCTTGGTACGAAATGACTTTTATGGTAATGTAAGGCCCTAAGCTGCAGCTCGTGTATCTTATGTGCAAATCCGACCTTGGATTCAATTGTCAAGTAGTTAATTTAATTATTTTTGCTAGAAAATAAAATAAAACTATGTTAAGATTTATTATAGAATGGTGAACTCTTAGGCCCTTTTACATATAGGCTTATCACATTAACATTTGCAGTTAGTACCGTAATTAGAATCGATATTTGGGAAATCGCATTGGAACATGTACAGCAATCTCTAGTATTGCATATTTTTCCTTAACTTTACTAATAAAAAGAATTTTAAACAGTAATACATTAAATATATTACATTTGACTTTACATCTTTAGAGTGCCCATCATGGGTAGAATCAACTACTGAACATTGATAGCTGGTCGCGGGTTCGCATCTGAACAACGTCTCGTAAAGATTATCAGATCTAATATTTAAATACTTTTCCATAAAACTCAACCCATAAAGCACTCCCCCTTTTGTTGATCGCCCATGTGTTGCGTTGCTTCATCTCATCACTCCATTACGATTTTAGATTAGAAAGTTTTTAAATTTCTTACAGTAAAAATAATTGTCATGGCCTATTTTTAGATTGTTTTCGTATGATTTTTCTTAGTTTGTATTATTTATTTAAATTTTTAAAAAATCTACTGTATTTGTAATAAATTTACACTGTAGGCACCACGTTGGATAACAGGAAAAGTACTGGGAGGAACGAGCGTCCTAAATTACAATTTATATGTTCGTGGCAACCCAATGGATTTTGATAATTGGGCAAAGGAAGGAGCTATTGGATGGAGCTGGAAAGATGTAATCGGTTATTTTATTAAATCAGAAGATAATACCAACAAGGAATTACTACTAAATGGTATTCTTTTTATTTATTTTTGATGTATTGATTGTTTTATATTGTCCTTTACAATATAATAAATTCTACGTAATATACGCATCATTAAATTTTCCACTCTTTTAATTAATAAAATAAGCATAAACAGAATAAATTATACAAACCGTTTATAAATAGCACAATTGAATAAGAAAACAATATAAGTTAAATAGTCAAGTGGAATTCTGTAATAATAAATAGACCTATTTTAATTTAATTCTTTAGAAATAGATAATACTTTATGAACTATTTCGGGCCAATGCCCACTTGTGAACCATTGGTTCACAAGTGGGTATTGTCTCGTAATAGTTCATAAAGTATTATCCACCATTATGAGCCATGCACTCTTGCATACGATATATGAGTCATGCACATGATATATGAACCATTATGATTCATGTACACTTGTGAACCAATGGTTCACAACTGGGCATGGCTCATAATGGTTCATATATCGCGGATAGTCATGATCGGTTCTAGAGATACTAATTAGTTATGTGAGAAAATTTTGGAGTTAATATTAATGCAATTTGCATATTAGATTATATTGTCTAAATTTCTTTGACAACCTGAATAGTTGAGACAAAGATTTTATTACAATTTAGTGTGACGATTACAGATTCCATGAGTTGTACTCGTAACTCTCCATAGGTTGCAATGTTAAAATTATTAATTTTACACAAGTCAAATTACATACATGGAAATGTTTAACTAAACAATAAATCAGACTAACAGTTCCACTGTACTTGCTCTCCATAAACCAGTTATAAACTATGCATTCAATATACAATGCGTATATCCTGTCCACTTGGACCATGTTTATTAATAGGCTTTATTATACTGGTGTAGTTTCTGATTTTCAAGTAGAGTAGATCTTAGTCAAGAGTCAAAATGAAATATCTTTATTTTTACCTGAAAATAAAGATATTTTGTTTTGATTAGGGTTTCTCATTTCCCGGTCTTTTGCTTGTCCCGGAATTCCGGGATAAAAGTGAACTGTTTCCTGGAATTTTAGGAAATCCCGAGACAGAATTAATTATTTTTAAGATATACAAAATATCATGAAATCAAATTATATAATTATTTTCCATTTTTAAAGTAATTTAATATGTTCTGCAATCTCCAAAATCATATTAATAATGCTGTGTAAGATATATATTAAAAATTACCTTTGAATTACGTACAAATTTTCACAAATAGAAAAAAATTTATTAAAGTTTGCTGTAAACTGCATACAACAACAACAACAACAAAATGCTTTGAATTGAGTTAAAAATTAAAAAAAAATGAACTTACAAAAGTTAGATAAAACTTCTAACTCAGAAAATAATTTTCGTTTTTTAAATAAAATATAATACAAAATATTGTAAATTTTTATAAGATTTTAAAAAGCAAAGATGGTCAATACTCCAATCACTCAATTTCATTCTTATTTTAGTAATGAAAAGTCTTGCTACTGAGAATGCCCTTTCCGATTCAATTGATGTGATTGGAATCGTGTTTAATGCATTTAAGAGAAAACAAATATTATGTGTTTTTCACATGTATCCTGAAAGATATGTTCGTTTTCGAAATTGTAGTACTTCTTTTGTTCTCTAGTATTCTTGATTTGTCTATCTCGACTGCTTTAATAGAAACATCACAGCCCAATAATTCGGCAGTTCGTTTGTCTTTAATAATCATGTTAAGAAGAAAAACTTTATACTTGCAGACTTCGTACTCGTTTGTACCCTTGCCCAATTTGCACAACCTGGCGTTACGCATTTATCGAAGCTAATGCGCATGGTTAAAAATTAAGACAGCATAAGCACAATTATTCCAGATATTACAGTTAAGAATTTTGAGAGTCCTACCACAAATAAGCTATATATTGATTATTGACCATTTGTGACATGCCGTAACGAGCAAAAATTTAAAAAATATAATAAGTAGGTTTAAAATTAATAAATACAAATGTATTCTAACAGTTTATGTGTTAATTACACTTTCTATTTGCAAAATTTCCTCAACCTTAACACAAAATAAGAAAAAAGTGCAATTTTAAGAAATTTGTGGGATTTCCCGGGATGAGAAAAATTTCCCGGGATATTTTCCTGGTTAAAAAAACAACCGGGATCCCGGTTGAAAAACCCTAGTTTTGACCAAACCCTACCAGTGAATGGTCGTGGGTTTGCATCTCATCAACGGATTGGTTATGTGACGTTGTCCGGATTTTTTCGCGGTCTAACACTTAAATATGGCCAGTTTCCCATAGATAGGGGCCGTCCATAAATTACGTTAGGTATTTTGGGGTGGATGGGGTCAAGGATTTCTTACTATTTCTTACTCAGGGGTAGGGGGTAATATATCTCGTCTTACGTAATATTTTTATTTTTAATTTTTAATCTCGTTGAGTGGTGGAGTTTTGATTTTGGCTTTAATGTGGCCGTTTCTATTAAGAACGCTCGTTGTACTAAAGCCATCTCGTGTGACGTGATAAAATAATAACACTAGCAACTCACGCTCTACACATTTTTTTTCGGAGTGGGCACTTATTCTAATAAAAAAAACAAGAGAGAGAAACCACCACACGGCCTTTTATGGAAGAAAGGCCGTGTGGTGGTTTCTCTCTCTTGTTTTTTTATTAGAATAAGTGCCCACTCCGAAGGGTTGTATAACACTAAGAATACATAAATCAAAATACATGATATAAAGTAAACATAAAATTAGTATTCGGCTTTTAGTGAAAACTAAAATGTAAAACTAGAAATTATAAATTATAAATAGTCTTTTCTTCCATATTTTTTAAACATAATTGTAAAAAGCATGAAACAGTGATTTCTGAACAAGCTTATCGAGTGGACATGGCCACCTGAAACCAAGCGTAAAAATTTCTAATTTCAGAATAAATCTATCTTGATCGTAAATTGGACAATGATAGATCATATGGTGTCTATGTTTTCTGTAGAGCAAAAGCAAAAACCAGTTTCTGCCCGGTTATACAAAGATGAGGTTGAAGGATCACTCACTTTTTCGTAACCTTTCCTAACTTGTCTATGTTCTCTGCACATCTCATCAGAATTTTTTCACATCCTACAGCACATGTTATACTATCCTAATATGTATATGTGTGGAGCCAAAAGAACTATTAGCTCCTTTTTCCCCTTTTTTAAACTATGTTTATATCTTCTTACCAGTCATGTTGGTTTAACTGTCACTATGTCAGGACTGAAGAGGGGCATTAAGCCCGAAATGCATATCCGTCCATACCAATAAAACAACCTTTTTCCTCTGAAAGTATTCCTGTGTGATATGTTCTCAACAGCAACATTGTTCTTAAAATAAATTGTTTGTTCGAATTCATTAAATTTTTATATTTTTAAATTTGTTCACATAAAGTCTTTTATAAATAACAGTACTGTACATATTAATTAACTAATTAATAATTATATATTTTGAACCTAAGGTTTCTAATACTAAGGTTCGGTTTCATAAAAAAATTTTTTTTGGTTAAAATCTTTCTATAAAATCATGCCAAAATATTACGTAAGACGGGGACGGGGACGGGGAGATCAAAGAAAATACAGTGGTACCTCGGTAAACGTCTGCTTTAGAATACGTCAAATTCGGAATACGTCCTGTTTGGACGAAAAAAAAATTGTTCGGTATATGACTTAATTCAATTATACGCGCCATCTATGAACAAGTAGCACTATCGGTGTACTAGGCCCGACTAGACGTTCGCGGTGCCACAGTTTATAACTTTGTTAAATTTTTTCTGATTTTAATTTGTAAGTAAAATTTTATTATTTTTATTAATCATCAATTGCAAAAAGGCAAATGAAAAGCAACAGAAAACTAAAAACATGACTAGAATCACAATGGAACTGAAAAAAAAAGATTGTTGAAAAATATGAAGGTGGCACGCGTGTTCGAGATTTTAACTGTTGCATACCGTATTCCGAGAACAACGATATCGACAATCGTGAAAAATAAAGACATTGAATCTGCTAACGTTGCGAAAGGGGTTAAATCAATTTCTAAACAGATATCGAAGACATTAAATCATGTCGAGAAATTGCTTTTGTTTGGATAACTGAAAAACAGTGTGCTAGAGATAGCGTATCGGAAGCAATTATTTGCGAGAAAGCTAAAAAGATACATGCTGATCTCGTGAAAAATCAAGCAGGAACTATCCAGGAAAGCGAGGTGTTTAAAGCCAGCCATTTTTTTTTACATGAGAACGGATTAATCATTTTTTACATTACTTCTTATGGGAAAGGTTGGTTTGGTATACGTCCAATTCGGTATAAGTCCAAACATCAAGAACGGATTAAGGTCGTATACCGAGGTTCCACTGCATTACGATTTCTTACACAGGGGTGTGTGGGGTCGCCCCGAAATCGCCCTTACGTAATTTATGGACGGCCCGATTAGTGCTCTCGGGAGGTGCTTAACCAGATGAATTTCTAGAATTGTCAGTACAATAGATTTAAATGTAAATCGTACTACAAACAAATTGAATATACAGGATATTCATAAAAGAATGGTGGAGTTTCATAGATGTGTATTTTCTGTTTTTATTACCTCATACAACCATATTATGACTCAACCGGAAGCGAAAAAATCTATGTGTGATGTGCGTCACTCAATAAACACACCTCTGGTCACCTAGCATCCAATCAGTAGTCGCGCTCCTTCCAGTTCCGATCCAGTATATACGATGCAATGGAGTTCTTTCCCGGAGATCTCAGAGGGATCATACCGTTTTGGTATGTAAGCATGCTTTTTACATGTCCTTTTGGGGGGAATCTCATGAAATTAGATCTGGGACCGGGGTGATGACAAGAAGAGGTGATTGTCCACATCCGCAGCACGTTCAATATAGTATCGCCAAGCAGGCATAAACAGAAATTCCAACAAATATAGTAATCATAACACAAGAACCCAAGAAGAGCACCACTGATTTTAACCCTATAGGAGATGAAACTTGAATAGCTGACGATGATGACTAAATACGATGCATGCAAACATTCTCCCCGAAAACTGACAGAGTTACGCATCTGTAAAACCGAATTATTCCTTTATCGTTGGTTAGTTGGATGGAAAGATGTGATGTGGCAATGCCACACGTGAACAATCTTCCAATGCTTCTCGGAAGAACTTTCTATGAGTGTTAGAGACGTGAAGAAAACCTGGAAATCTCCACGTGGCCAATCGGTTGATCAGGCGCAAAACCGCGACCACTGTTCAGTGGTTTTATCCACTGACCACTGTGTTACCATTCGTTTTATGAATAGCCTGTATTATACATAAATAGTGCTTACATAAAATAGAAGTCCTATATTTAATATATTTAACGAAATACTAGATAATTTCAACGTTTAATTTCGAAGTTTTCATAATAACTTTTTAAATTTAAAACCAAAATTTGAAGTTAATCTTAATTTTCTTCTTTAATTACAGGATATCATGGTGCAGGAGGACCTATGACTGTTGCGCATTCCCCATTCTACTCTCCTGTCTTAAAGAATTTCTTAGCCTCTGTTCTTGAAATGGGATACAAAATTGGAGATTTCAATACAGATAAACAAGATCGTAAGTTTATTTAACTAAATTTCTGTTATATACATGGTAATTTTACAAAATTTAATCCAACTAATTCGTAATTTTAAATTTTCTTAAGACGTAATTATTTGTTATTAAAGTCATGAGTTTGCATCCTACTTGCGTTTATCAATTTCTTATGCAAGTTTCAGTTCAGAAATAAATAGCTTTGTACTGTCAAAGTTGCGTGATTATTATTAAAATAAAATAAATAAATATTATTTTCAATAAATTTATGGAAACTTATAGAAGTGAATTCATTTTCTGCAATTATAATTTTCAAATTTGTTCCTTTTGTAGAATTTTTTGCAACTCAAGGAACGATAAGAGAAGGAAAGAGATTAAGTTCTTATTCAGCATTCATAAAACCAATCTTATGCAGAAAAAATTTTCGGCTGATAAGTTCAGCATTTGTAACAAAGGTAAAAATGTTCTTGTTTACTTTCTCTTTTCATTCCCCCCAATAAAATTTGTTGTTATAACAAATAGTTCTCAAATAGTGCTAATTTGTTTTCTCATTGATTATGCTTATTTAAGCTTCACAAATGGCTCCAAGAATGTTTAGTGGTAGTCCATTCCTAGCCAAACCCACTATGGGCTTTGATTAAAAAGCCTTCTTAATATTCATAGGACAGAAAGAGTTGAAAAAAAGACCTAAGCGTCATAAATAAACCTATATTAAAATTATATATATATGTTAATAGTGTACTTTTTATAGCCAAGTCATTTAAATAATGAATTTTAAAAATAAAATCTTTGGCATTTCATACTAAATGCTAATTTGATGGGCTTTGTCAGTATTTCTTTATATGAGGTGTAGATTTTCAAATAAACCTGTTTTTTTCACAACAGATTTTCTTTTTATTCTTAGATATTACTCGACAAGTTTAAACAGGCAAAAGGTGTGGCATATGAAAAGGATAACGTTACGAAAATCGCTTATGCCAGAAAAGAAGTTATTATTTCTGCAGGAGCTGTTAATACGCCTAAATTGCTTATGCTTTCCGGAATAGGACCAAAAGAACATTTATCAGACCTCGGAGTGAGTTTTACTTGAAATTATATAAATGACCAGCATGATTATAGCGTTAATTCTTTTCGCTGTTATTTTCTTCAAAATTAATGTGTGACTACACCTACATGATAGTATTATGTAATGAAGTTGCATCTAATTCCAGTAAAACAGAGGACATGACAGATGAAATTTTCCTTTACGCATAATTTTTCAATAAAGGGCAATTTCATCTGTCGTGCTCTCTGTTTACATAATTAATGCGTTTAGTATCGAGTTAAATTTGAAGAAATAATTTAACATGGACTCTATATCCGAGCCATAAAAAAAAAACTTAAAGGTTATTGGATTATAATAAATCCTTTGTTTTTTTGCATTTATAGATCCCTGTTGTTGCTGATCTTCCTGTTGGACAAAATTTTCACGATCATATCGGGCGACCTATGATATTTACTATTGAGAAACCTTACTCTTTTCATCAGCTGACCCTAAATCAAATTGATTACACTCTATACTTGGATTCTGGTAAAGGTGAGTTTGCATCCATGACTTTTTTTATAATTTGCAGGTTTTATTTTAAATATTACATATAATATTTCTTTACAATTTAGGACGCTTAACTTCATTAAGTGGCGCAGAAGTAATTGGATTTATTAATACTAAATATGAGAAGAAAAATTGGCCTGATGTTCAAATAGTACTTTTAGCAAATTCTCTATTGTCGGATGCGGGTCTAGCTCTTTTGTTCCCAGGAGGACATCTAAATAAAGACGTGAGAATAAAATTATTATTACGTTTTTCAGCCATTTGTAAATAATGATGAATTTTTTTAAAGTTTATAGTTTAAAAGTTGAGAGGTATTTCGAATTTCTAAAATTTATACTTATTGTAGATAAATTACCAAATTCACATGCAATTTGACTGATGTATACCCATCAGTGACCGAGTGGATAAAGACCACTAAAAACTGGTAGAGGGTTCGCGCCTGACCAATGGGCTACGTGAAATTTACGGTTTTCTTCGCGTGACTAATACCTAAACAGAGACATTTCTCAGAAAGTCCTCCCAGGAAGCAACACAATACCTGAATGATCTGCCATATCTCATTATTCTCTCAGATTTCTAAATAATATTCATATCGATTTAGAAAAATGTTTTATTCTTAATTTTATGTATAATAAAATATTTTATTTTCATTACTAACAAACACTATTATGTTTCCAGCAATAACAATAATGTTGTATTTATAGGTATATTTGAAAGCCTTTGTTAAATATAAGTTGAAACATACAATCACTTGTAACCCAATCCTTATGCGTCCGAAAAGCCGTGGATGTGTCTTGTTAAAATCCAAAAATCCTCATGACACACCTCGAATCAATCCTAATTATCTGTCGAAAGTTGAAGATGTGTTAGCTTTAATAGAAGGTAATACATTTTGTACTATAATGTAAATTTAAAAGTAATCTTATATCATTCCTACGAACTTCTAATACAATATATCATACTTATTATGTGTTTATTGTACGGTAAGTCAAGAGAAGAAGTCAATGTAATGAAAATTGTTTAACCTTAATTAATTTTTGCTATTTCGGCATGTGGGCACTTACGAGGTCTCTTTTAACCATACTCATTTTGGGTTTGGCCAGGCCAACAGTAGGGACGCCCAGGTGGTGAAGGATGGAGCCCAGCTACTTGGAACAAATCGCTCATGAAAAATTCTTAGGTAGTTTGTTCGCTCGGATTTGATTCTGGACCCATCAGAGCAATAGGCTAAAACTTTAACTACCTCAGCATATCTGCCACCAATTTGCTTTCCATTTTATATAATGAAATGCAAGTGTATTTTCAAAATAAATATTACATTTAGAGTATTTTGTATGCAGTGATTTTAATATGAATCGAAAGCACGTGGCAATTTCTCTATGTGCTGCTTCTTTTTTTTATAATGATAATGAAATTGATTAAAATATCATTTTGTTGATTTTAGGAATGAAAACGTGTATGGCTTTTGGAGAAACAAGTGCATTGAAGAAACTTGGCATTAAATTATTGCAGTCTGAATATCCGAGATGCGATCATTATCCTGTAGAATCAGATGAATACCTTGCTTGCATCCTTAGGGTATTTAGTATAGCACTGTATCATGGAGCTGGTACTTGCAAAATGGGAAGTCCTACGGATCCAAGTACTGTTGTTGATGCAAAATTAAGGTAATTAACAACTGAATTTTAATTAAAAGCTATTTAATGTTTTTATGTATCTTTAAACCATTTTTAATTATTTTCTATAATATAATGAAAAATCTTGTTTTATAAGAATATAATAAATGTAGAAAAAGTATAAATGAAAATCTTACGTTGAAAAAATATACAATGATACAATAGGTACAGTACACATCAAATTTTATCAAAACATTCATTATGTTAGCAGCGGCCTTAACATTATACTTTATGCATTATATTATATGCATGTTTTATTGTTTAATTCTCTTATTAACTTTTCTCTTGTCATTCATTGATTTTATAAATATATTCAAATATACTTATTTACATTTCACTTAAGTAGTACTCTTTCTTGAAATTTTATAGAGATGTCAAAATTAATATTAGCTGATTGACAACCTTATGAAACAACCTAATTTATATACTTATCAGAAATGAATGTCTAGTACAAGTATTGGTAAAAACATTCCAATGCTAATATCACAAATACCGATTAATGATAATATAGTTAAACATTTTGCATTGGCAGTGAATAATACCGCCTGTGAAGTTATGTTAATCATGTAAATATTTTGCCTGCAAAACGATCATACACAAGATTTATTCTCAACCATTGTGGCTTAGTTAATGACGTCGAATAGCCTGTTCAATTTGAACGATTGGGTCTTAAAGAAAAAGACAAAGACATTTGATTTTGACATTTGACAAAGACTTTGAAAACATCTGTGGACATTAATACAAGGATTTCTAAATAATGTCTCCTCCTGCAGCATGAAGTGCAAGATACAAACATGCTACCATTACCATTTATTTGTCAATTGTGTCTGGTCTTTATATCCAGTTTTAATTTGCTGTGTTGTATTGTTGCGTAACAGTCAAATTTTAACATAAACCTATCCTCATTTTGTACTAAGCAGTGATCACAGCTCCAGCAGATGTGAGGAAATCTCCAGAATAAAAAAATTGAAATTGCTCTACAACTACAGTAGAATCTCCATTATCCGGATTTTCGATTATCCGGATTGTTCAAAATAAACAAAATTTTACGAATTTGCTGATTTGCACTTTGCGAATTACGACACTGTTTATGTACGTGATGGAATGCATAACTTTTTTTGTTTCAACAACGTCTCACCCAGCACAGTGGTCGTAAACTCTTAAATATATTTTATGTAGTAATAAAAATATAACTTGACATACGTATTTATATATAATTTATATTCAAATTACATCATTTCTATGACCAAGGGCAGCGTAAGGCATGGACGACGTGGGCCACCGCCTATGCCTCGCGGTCCAAAGGGCCTCGCGTCTCGAAGGTTTATGCATTACTTAAAAGCTGCGAACGGGACGAAAAAATTTTACTCTTCATAAAACGATAAAAAGTTTGTCAAATTTTTATTTATAAAAATGCAGTTTCAACTGCTTTTTATTTTATAAAATCCGTCTTCTTGCGCCACCAGCGGGCCTTTTAAACAATAGGTAGTCTGTTAGCGTTGGTCTGTAGTAGTCCAAATTCAATACGAACGTTTGTTTCTTGAAAATTTGATCACGATTTAAATGCAGTATTTACTTTTAATATTACCTATATGTCATCGAAAAGAAAACGTGTTGTATTATCATTAAAATACAAAGTATTTTTTCGATTATCCGGATTTTTCCTTATCCGGACTACCTTTATCCCCAATTAGTCCGGATAATCGAGGTCCTACTGTATATGCTATTCTAAAAAACAAAAAAAAAGAGTGCATCACATCATACATTGTTTAAAATTCAGAAAAATCTATACAGATAAGTAACATAGACAATTTTTAGGGATGGTATTGTTTACATGGAGTATCTAGCTAAGAAACACAATTAATTGGGTAAAGTATTGTGAAACCTTACAACACAAAATAGACATATTTACAATGTAAGACCAGAAATTTTCATGCATCACAATAATGCAAGTGAAGCCTATATAAAGGATTTTTAGTATTATTTAAAATTAGTCTCTGCTCTTCCAAACTATTTTTATAAAAATAGAAACCTTAAAAAAAATTATAATTTTAATATTTGCCTATGCTCTTAATATTAACCAGTTTAATCCAAATGTGTGATGCATCTTACATTGTTGAATTTTTTTTAATCATATCGAACAAAATGGCATACCAGTTAAGAAAAACTAAATTTAATTTTGTCTGTTCTGAATGCTCTAAAGTACCAAAGCATCATTGCTGTATTCAAATTATTCTCTAACATTATGAGAGGAATCAATAATTAAAACCTCCTCAACTCTTGGATTCATAAAATAATAATTATACTGTTAAGACATTTAATTGGCATATTACTTTTTAAAGCAAGCTTACTAATAATTTCAAACATTACTTTTTTACAGGGTGAAAGGTATACCAAATTTAAGAGTTGCAGACTGTTCAGTAATGCCTTTAGTGGTATCAGGCAACCCTCACGCAGCAGCAGTTATGATTGGAGAGAAAGCTGCTGATATTATCAAATTTGATTCACTTGGAAAAGATCTAACTTTTCAATACTTTTAGCAATTTAATTAATTTTATTATAATTTTGTACATTTGTTTTTGATATTTTGTGTTAAATTTGTATTGTATATTAACATTTGTCTTAGTTTTAGATAGATAATATGAAATTATTTTAAATTACACTTTTCTTATAAAAGAAACTTTAATATTAAAATATATTTTACAAAATTTAATAAAATCATTTTTATTTAAATTAATAGTTCATTGTATACAACAAAAGTGATTTAAAAGTAATCAATGAGGAGCAGGAGCATATCCAGGGATGTGCATTTATAACCATACCTTGATACCAAAGCAATCAGTTTCATCATCTATATATATAAAAATGTATGTGTGTGTGTCTGTCTGTCCTTCATGCATTACCACACCGTTTATCCGATTGCCGTGAAACTTTGGAAAGTTGTTTAATATACTCCGGCGAAGGTTTGTGGCATAGTACGATTGCCATGAAACTTTGGAAAGTTTTTTTAATACACTCCCGCGAAGGTTTTTGTCATAGTACATTTATCCTACGATAGATGGCGCGCGTTTACACGAGCATTCAAGCACAGCGTGTTTGATCGATTTTAAATTGTGAAGACCATTTCCCCCTTCAAAAAATATTTCTATACAGTATATGCATTTGTGAACTGTTATTTACGATATTCGTAATAATGTTTGTTTAATTACTTTATTTCAACTTTTTTTGCTAATTACGTATTCGCTCGAACTTTGTTAAAACTTTAACTGTATACCGAACAACAACCGAAGTTGTAGAAGGAAATTCGCCTATTTTACCGATCTAGGGATCCCCTTTTCCAAATTTTAATATCATCTAATAATTTAAAAAGACAAATTACAATAAAACGGTTTATTATCCAACTATCAGAAATTTCACAACACGCCAAGGAAGAGAGGAAGGAGCAATTAAATAATTAAAATTATAAAGGATTTAAAAATATATATAAAAATGGGGAATATCGCACTTCTGACAATCGCAGCGAGTGTGTGGGCTAAATTTGGAGAATCCGTGCTTCTCGCATGGACAACTGTATGTGGCCGGCTCACGCGTCGAAAAACCTTCCGATTTATTCGTGTACGCACCAGACGGAAAAACAAAAAATATCGTGTATCCACAAACACTCCAATAAATAAATAGAATTGAAACGACACTTTGAAATGTTTCCCGATGAAAATGAATAATAATAATAATAATAAGTTTCAATAAAAATGATAAAATGTAAATTTAATTTTATCATAACGAGTTTGCTTGAATTTCCTTTCTTCTGAGATCGCAGCAATGCGCGACAGATAAGATAGTTTTAAAATAAAAATAAATATAATAATGCATATTGCAAGATTTCAATTAGGTAAGATTAAGAAACTAAAGTAATTGTAAAATAACTAAGTAACATTCTCCAAAAAACAACAGGGAATACATGCCTTAGTCCCTGAATCTGCCTTAAGCAGCACCTGTCTGCTTAAAATCCTGGATATGCTACTGTTGAGGATATATCAAAGTTTAAGAGAATCAAGTATTGCCAAATCATACATTTAAGAAGAATACAGATACATGGAATTATATGACCAGGTATTCAAACTGAATTGAAAAGTTTCAATGTGTGATAACTAGACAACGGACATCTATGCCATTAAAAGTGGTGTTTTAGGCACTTAAAATAAGCTCTTAAATTGCGTCATTTAGGCTTTATAAACAAAAAATAGGCAGTCAAAATTTCCACAATGAACAATTAACATACTTATCAGGACAATGAATTTTTTATTTAACATATATATTCCAAACAAAAATGCACGTATTCAGAATGATGCAAACACAAAAGTAGACAAACAATTATCTTTGCATTTTTTATTCACTTTATTCCCATAATTAGCTTCATAATATATTACAAGCATTTTTTCCAAATTTTCAATAGAAAAGTTACAACGTTTGTCACTGAGAATTAATTTATATGCAGAGAAAGAGCATATAATCCTTATCTTCAGTAGATGTGTTGCACATCTACAAGGTTAAAATACTGTCTGTTATCTTCAGTAGATGTGTTCCACATCTAATGAAGATAACAGGCAGTATTACAACCTTGGAAGAAAATGAACTGAGAATTCACTTTCAGTTTTGTTCTTCTTTCCTGCCAAAATATCAGCCACAATAAATAAGCACTTTAATCCGAGTCTCTTTTGAAGCACTGCTTTCAACTCTTTCTTTACTTTTTTGCAGCAGTGCCTGGTGCATCACAAAGTTTCTGGTTTGCTTTGTTGAGGAGCTCAATTTGTTCATATGTAGGTTTCCCACTACTTTTAAGAGCAGTAATAGTATCTGCAATGAATGTGAAATAACACTTGATGTACACCAGCATTGATTAAATGTCATTCAAAATTTTCTTGGCTTTAGTTACACAAACTGCATTGTCCACTAGAGTGGCCAGAAGTTTGTGATATTGAAGAAATGTTCACTGTAGTAGTTAGTACAAAATCTTAGCCATGCTAAGGAAAAATAGGGATTTGCCTAAAATCCACTGTCTAAAAATGCCAAATAAAGCATCTCTAATGCTATATTTATTAAATAAAAGCATTTATTTTAAAATATTTCATATAGTTTTAATTTTATTACTATAAAATTGCATTAGGGAATGTAATTTATTTCTGTTATTATTGCATCCTAATTTTTTCTGCTTGGGATATGCATCCACTGGGACTTAAATATAAGTAATCAATAATAATTTTAAAAAATGAATTTGTCTGATTGCATTTTTAGAAAAAAAATTAAGCTTAAGCAGTTTAATTTTAGAATTAAAGTAAATCTTTGTGGAAAATGAAACAAAAAATTAATAAAAACTTTTTTAAAAATATGAAAACAGACTAAACTTTGTGTTTTAGGCAAAAATAGGCAGCAACGTCAAAATAAGCATTTTTAGGCATTATAAAATACCATTGTTTCAGTCTAAATGTTCATGAAAAGTGTTCATACAAAATCTTAGCCATGTATATGCCAAAGAAAAAAATAGGCATTTGTCTAAAATCTGCTGTCTAGTGATAACCCCTTATAAATAACTATTATATGATAGTAAAAGATTGAATTGAACTTGACATAATAAGGAATTAAAAACTAAATAATTGATAAAACTTCTGGTCCTCCTGTAATCTCTGCAAGTGCCTGAATTACAATCAACATTACCACCCCTGTCACTGAGGTCCTCTGGAGTTCTGTTCCTGACAACTAAAAATCTCATGTATAGTAAGTCACCATCTCAAAAACTATCAGAGTCCAACTTAATGCCAGGTAAAGGGATAGTTGAAAGTATTTCTATGCCTACAGAACAATATTCTGGTCACAAACTTGATACTCAATGGTTGGTGTATCAAAATAAATATCTCTTGAAGAGAAAAGCGGGAACTCAGAATAAACATTGCATGTGAACTTTGAAGCAACAACAAAAACTTAATATGAAGCGTGCAGTCAATTTCAAATATTCTTCAGAGCCAGATAAATTTAAAACTTAATGTATATTGAAAATAAACGTATGTACAGTTACAATTAAAGTTCACATATAAGAATTACAAACATTAGATATTAACAAAGTTCGAGGTAATCGTCCACTGCAACAGGTCCGTCGGAAAAGCACCTTGCGACGTACAAATTCAAAGTCCACAACAATACAACAAGATGAGGCAATCTTCTAAACAGCTTAGGCGAGCTACGGTCAGCGTGAGTTCACTTCCAATGTCCGAAGCCGAACTGAACTTCCCGCCAGATCTTCAATACTTTTATAGGATTGAAACAGCATTGGATTCCACCAATCAGCATTTACCAGCTCTATAAGACGTCCGCCTATGGTCTGATATCTTTTAACCAGTGAGCGGTCGAGTTTTCAAAATGGTCTGATCGCCGTATCTATGGCGACAACGGTCGTTCTTTTATATAAAAAGGCGGGAAAACTGAGTGCCAGTCGATTTTTATATCCCGACACCTCCACGGCCGAGGATCAAACTGAGCTTACTCAAGCCTGTTTGATTCCCTTCACAACACCAAACAATCTTACAAAAATCGTCCGATGTCGGACTGACCCATACATCCGGAACATCCGGGAATTCTACCCGTCTACGCGCAGAGATGCCTTTGCTACCTATGCCTAATAACCGCTTTCGTAAAGCCAACGCAATCCGGTATGGGGTAAACCGTTTCGAAATCCACCCTCCAGTAACTGTCCAGATGTTTTTCTTTTTCGGTCTATTACCGAAAATCGAGTTGTAATCCTCCGACACGTCATCCCGCTCCGTATGTGCCGACGTCGGGGGAAGCGGAGGAACTCCCCTTACTCTCCCGTCCCATCTTCTGCGATCGTGCAGCTGTCGCGGGGACAGAGTTTTAACCCGTTCCCCGAATCTCCCGTCGGAATCACGTACTATTCTTACAGCGAACGTTCGCTTTTCTACCACATCCGGCCATTCCCACCGGACATCCAATTTGTCATCCGGGGAAGACTTTTCCACGAGAACCGTATCCGCGATGTTATATCCCGTTTTCTGTGCTTCCACATTGTAATGCACTGCATACTCTTCTCGTTTTACGTCCGTATGCTTAGTTGCAATATCGTGGACCACTTTGATCCGATCCATCTCTATATTCCCTACTTCTAACCTAAGGGTCATTTCACGCACGCATCAATCCTGCGGTGCAATTTGTCCCCTGATCGTCCCACATCAGTTTGGGACAACCCGTCCACGTAAAGAATCGCATCAATACCGAACAAGTGACCATCGCTGACAGCGATCTCATCCCTTCCACTTCTGACCTGCGGGTGCATAATCCGATTATGCTAACTGCGTATCGGTGACCGTTAGATGACAAGCGATCAATCGGTACAATCACTCCTATGTTAACCACTTGAAACGGGGTTGAGAATCGAGTAAGTGGTGTAGCTGGGGTCCTATCTAGGACTAGATCAGACGCTCTTACTTGGCACCTACGACTATTCTGGCAGTAGGTCGCAAGTCAGAGCTCGGTCGCTGTTCCCGGCCAATAGAAGCTCTCGCGAACGCGACTTGCTAACTTCCGACTGCCAAACTGTCCACCGCACGGAGCTTTGTGTGCTAAATCTAACACTTCCGTTCTCCGTTCTTGGGGAACAACTATCTGATTAATGGGTCTGCCGAACGAACTATCTTGCCGATATAGTATCCCGTCCTCTACAGTTAACCCATCTTTCTTATGCTTAGCGGCCTCCCACAATCGAGATAGTGACTCGTCCCGGACTTGGGCGTCTCGTACTTCTGTTCCTTTCTCATTTTCGGTGCTATTTCCACTGCACCCCGCCTCTGAGAGAGGTTCTAGCTCCTTTTCCCGATGGTTTCCGTTACCATCTACCCTTAAGTTCCTCACTTGTCTTTCTCCCTTTCCCTGGAGCTTCTGCTTTCGGTCTACTAGCATCCGGTAATCCTTCTCCGATAACAAGGCATCCGTGGTCTGGTCTAACTCGTCCGTTAAGGCGCACGTCACCAGTTCCGACCTTCGCGACCCTGCGAAGTCTTTCTCCCACAGCCCTATCGGGACCGATACTAACACCGCATCGATCCGGTGACCGAAGGGCCCAACCAATTGGATTCTCCCCTTCGTTTCCGTCACCGAGGTAGGTACCAACGACTCCCTTATAACCGAAATCCCAGCTCCAGAGTCAACTATGGCCGAAAGACAGCTTCCGCCGCATGCTAATTTGACTTTCTTCGGCGCTGTTATGACTTTTGGTTGGTCATACGACGTTACTAAACGCCTCTCGTCCTGGGGATTGTTACTAGTAGCCACGAGCCGCGCCACGAGTTTAGGCTCACTATGTGCCTTCCGTTTCGGACAGTTTCTCCTCCAATGGTCCGTTTTCCCGCAGACGTAACAACCATTTTTGTGGGGTTGTTCATCTATAGTCTGCGTCACGGGACTAGATTTCCCTTTCGTCTCTCTCCACGAGTCCTTTTGTTCGCCGTTTTTCTCGCTTTTGCTTGGGGACGTACTACTTGACGCCTCGTCAAATTTCTCTACAAACCTGGCCAATTCCGCAGGCTTACTCCATCCCTTCCCTTCCTGTAAGGCTAGGACTCCACTACCGTAAAAACCCCTCGGCGTAAAAGCTTTTAATCACGTGACCCAGATATCTTACGCTTGAGCAGGCCGTAAAACCAGCGTAAAAGCGAGTTGAGCTATGTTCAACCAAGGCCACTTGATCGCTTCGCTAGTAAGGCCGTCCGCCGTAAGGAAAATTGCCGTATTTACACTGTTTCCATTTTTTGCCGCTGCGAAAGATTTTGGCGCTAGTTATCGGTGAGAATCGTCTGTTGAGTAAATTGATCGTTTTGTACTTTTGTGTGCGAGTATAGCTATTTTATGAAATTGTGATAATTACATATAGTTATAGTTGTATTTAGTTATACTTATTCGTGAGTTATATACGGTTGACGGGATTTCTCTTCAACAGCAGCTTGGTATATAGATATAAATACATTCATTGTGTGGTCAAACTGTGGAAAAAGTTCTCAGACTGCATCATAAGCCCATTTCTAGAAAAATATTAAAAGTCTAATGTTGTCTAATTCATATTGTAAATTTCTGATGAGGAGGAAGCTAAGTACATTTCTGGTCTTTGACTGAATTTTACAAACTGTAAAATTCAGTCAAAAACAGTGTACACTTTATTCAATAAATTAATTTTTCTTATGTAATAAGCTTTTGCTTTTTCTATAAAGAATTTTATTTATATTAGAGATGTAAACTGAAGCAATGTTACTTTTACCATAGTTATACTTTTAATTTCAACTTTAAAACAATATATGTTGCTTTTGTTCACATTTCTGTGTACTTCTCCAATATTAATTATAATAAGTTCGGAAATATGGTGATATTGAAGGTAACTTCAATATCACATATTTCCGTGCATATTTTTCGAAATTTTTTTACTAACTAAAAACTTTGCTTATTTTTGCAAAAAAATAAGCAAATTTTTTCGAAAGGTTATATCGGTATTTATTCTTACAGTCTTGATTAACAAAAGTAATAATTTTATAACAGATTTAATACACAACATTTTAATAATTATCATATATGGTCCGAAAATGTGAAAATTTTTATAGTAGACAGTGCATACTGTAGGTAACCTAGTTTTGCTAATTTTGCATACTTTTCGAGTAAAAAAAAAATATTTACATTAACGATTAACTACTGGTATCTTTAAGAATCGAAAAGAGATGATTAAATAGTATTAATGTGAAAAAGTTTGTATTTTCTATGCTAATAATACTCAGTTATTATTTCTTCCTAAAAACGTCTTATGAAAATAAAGTTGTGAAAAATACTGTACTGCATTATTATTTCGCTTTTTTCACAAACTAGGGAACATCGTTTGCAGGAGCTCATTTCTTGATTGTCAAAAGTTTTCAACCGGCTTTAATGAGAAAAATATTTAAATGCAGCGACTTCTCCAAACTCCTCTATACTCTCCACCTGAATCGCTGACGATGGATGTCAGCGTCACAAGCGGAGAAAATATTAACTAGCGTCTATACGCTCGGTCTCATAGAGAGAGATAGTTGGCGGACGGCCTTACTAGTGAAGCGATCAAGTGACCTTGGTTCAACTTTCGACGCGAATACGGCCGTAAAGAGGTACCTTCCACCAATCAGAAGTCATTGAAATCTAGGTCATCGCGACACGAAGCTAAAATGGCGGAAAACGAGTTTTTGTGTACGTTCCCTCGTGGCTACTCTAGAATAGATCCGGAAAGATTTATCGAAAACATCCGAAAGTATTCGTGTATCTATGACAAGAGGTAACCCGATTATAATAACGGATACCAAAGGAAATCCTTCAATTTAGAGGAGTATATAATAAAAAAGCTAAGCTTATAAGTGCTATATATTATCTTAATAATACGATAATAAAAGTTAGTATATGAAAGTAAAGATATTATTTTTACTACATTTGTAATTATAGTACAAAAAGAAACTCGTAGAATATAATCATTGTCTTTATATCGATACATCACGTATACAACAGTCTTTCGTTTCTACCAATTCACGTGCGAAGAAGTATTTACTTTCGACACTTGGGGTAGCACCGTTACCGTAAAAACTTCGCGCTAGCCGGACCTCCACCGTAATCTGAGCGCAAACGCAAATAGGTCACGTGATTAAAAGCTTTTACGGCGAGGGGTTTTTACGCCGTTTTTACGGTAGTGGAGTCCTAGCCTAATATCACATACTTCTTTGCGTCTTGAGATAGGAGCGTCTTTATGTGGTCCGCTCAGTGGTGATATTCGAAATATTCAACAAAGGGTTCGCTAACAGAAAAGTTTTCCTTAAAGTCCCAAGCCCGAGATATCTCGGGCAGGTTACATAGCGTTACATAAAACTCGGGCGTTTGAACCCTCTAAATTTTTTTTTTAATTTTTGGAATGTATTTTAAGTCTCCAAATTTTTTTCCCGCGCGAAAGAATTTTATCGCGATTTTAATTTATCTTTAATGACGCACGATTCACGCTTAATTGCTTTTTAATTGTTTTTTAATGAGAGTTTGATATCAAATTTTATTCATCGTTCTAAAGTTGTAGTGCACAAATTTTTCTTCGGTAAAGTTATTTAAAGCTAGTTTCTAATGTCAAAAACGACCTCCGATAGTTTTAAAATTTTTTTAATTAATATATTTTATTATATAGTCTATAAGTTTAATTAAGTCGGGGGGGGGAAAATCGCAATAAAAATTTTAATTTTTTAAAAATATACGGCCAGCTAGTATTCACCCTACTATAAACCCATCGCCTCCCGAGACTTCTGAGAGAATGTCCCGGGAAATCCAACTCCAGCTGTGTTCAAGGTCATCCAGCTGTGTAAACAATGACTCATCAGCGTCAGATTTCGCAGAAAGGCGAAACAATGGAAAATAAAATCTGAAGCTTTCTCTTCAAAATTAACGCATTTCTTTCGTTTTTTTCAGTTTTAAGTATATTTTTTATGTTTAATTACATTAATATCAAAAATTGCTAGAGTCCCGAGGGGTTAACTGCTTTCCCTGTGACTTTTTCTCAAGAAAAAACTTTTCTAAATCATTTATTTTATCATTAGGTATTATTATAATAATAGACAGATGTCATCGTTTCTCGAAATACAATATCTTTTTTATTTCGCTGTCGATAGCCCGACACGTGTTCCGCAGCCATCTTGTATTTTCTCGCGCACGTGGGATTGTGGGATCTCTCGTATGACTGAACCTAGTTTCAAGAACTTTCTTGAGTCGGTCGCGATTAAATCTCGTTTCAGTCGAGATTGAAACGGTCCATGGAGGTTGCACCATGGCGAACGGGATATAAGGCTCTAGTAGTGTTACAGAGTATAATACGTATTTTTAAATATATTTTTTAAAAGAAACAAAACCACTGAGAAATGTTACGTGTGTTTAACAACGGGTTCGGAAAACTTTGAAAATTTTAACAACGGGTTCGGCCGAACCTGTGCGAACCCGCTGAATATCACCACTGGGTCCGCTACTGTTAGCTCAACAAGACTTTCTAATGTCTCCACCTCTCTACTATCTACATAGTGCTGATAAAGGTCTTTCAGGCGCGACGCGATTTGCGGCCATGTTTCTCCCGGGTAGCGTCCTGTCCGCCTAAATCCCTTGAGATATTCTGCCGGTGAGAGTCTCAACTCTTCGAGAATAAACTCCTTCAAGGAAGGGTAATGTTTGACCTTATCCACTGACAATCTTGTCAGTGCCGCTTTGCATTTTTCCGATAGCACGCTCAAAACTATTTGTCCCTGTAATTCTGCCGGGACCTCGTAGGTCTCCAAAATTACTTCAACCATACGAAACCAAGATGGTACTGCCTCCTCCTCTTCCGGCATTTTAGGCAGTGCCGCCTTTACCCTGCGAGCGTAATCGTCAAAATTTGCTTTTCCGATATTATCCTCTGCGTCTCGGGTCCCCTTTTGTAACCTATCCCGCTCTAACTCAATTTCCGCCTTTCTAACCTCAGCTTCCGCTAGCCTCCTTTTGGCCTCCGACTCAATTTCCGCTGCCCTCACCTTGGCCTCAGACTCGATTTTCGCGAGTTCAATCCGAAGCTTAAGCGCTTCGATTTCTTCCCGAGATTCGCCTCCTGTGCCTCCTGCCCTGCGTCCCTTGGTCGGCCCATCATCTTCCCAATTCCCTGTTTCTAAACCTCGCGCTTTCGTGCGTTTAGGCATCTCTGTGGTAGCGATTAAAATAAAGTTTTACCTGGGTCAATGATTGCCGGTGTTCTTCTATCCTTATGTACGTCGCAGATCAGCCCTTCCGATCTGTGGTAATCCAATGTAATCCAAAATAATCCTGTAGTAATCCTGTCGAAACTGCGCCAGTCAATTTCAAATATTCTTCAGAGCCAGATAAATTTAAAACTTAATGTATATTGAAAATAAACGTATGTACAGTTACAATTAAAGTTCACATATAAGAATTACAAACATTAGATATTAACAAAGTTCGAGGTAATCGTCCACTGCAACAGGTCCGTTGGAAAAGCACCTTGCGACGTACAAATTCAAAGTCCACAACAATACAACAAGATGAGGCAATCTTCTAAACAGCTTAGGCAAGCTAAGGTGAGCGTGAGCTCACTTCCAATGTCCGAAGCCGAACTGAACTTCCCGCCAGACCTTCAATGCTTTTATAGGATTGAAACAGCATTGGATTCCACCAATCAGCATTTACCAGCTCTATAAGACATCCGCCTATGGTCTGATGTCTTTTAACCAGTGAGCAGTAAAGTTTTCAAAATGGTCTGATCGCCGTATCTATGGCCACAACGGTCGTTCATAAAAAGGCGGGAAAACTGAGTGCCAGACGATTTTTATATTCTGACACGTGCAATGCCATAATGTTGTAAATGTCAAAAAAGAAACTTTTCAGAAGTAAAATACATTTTTTCTGAATTCATTTCAATTTTACAATAAAATGGTAAAAACTCACTGAGTTACAAATTCTCTGGAATATCAAAATGATGTAAATATAAGCCTTGATGTTTTATGTGCCAAAAGTCACATGACTTGCACTATGTCACTTTAAACGTTATATTTTCACATAAATTCATCTTCAAAAATACAGCCATTTACACTGTCAATATTGCCACAATATTCTTTTGTGACAGAAAACATTGCATTTAGAATTCAGTTCTTCAATAAAACATATTTAGAAAAAAATGGCATTTACATTGTTATGGCATTGCACACTACATACATAAGTAAAGAGCTATGTTTTTGGTGTTAAAGAAGATAAAGTAAAGAATATTTAATGTGGGTAATTAAAAACAAAAAAATTACAGTGAATTCCATGATTCTGTTCTACACCAATACATTTAAAATACATTGAATAAAATAACTAATGCTTATAATTAATATATTTACATAAAATTTCCCCTCCTGTATTTATTTCTTTTATAATTGTAACTTATAAAAAACTAGTTTTAACATAAATAACAAGTATAAAATTATAATTGTAAAACAAGTGTTATCTAACTAATCAATTAAAAACTAGTTCAGCTTTACAACTCTGCTGGTCATTCACTTAGTACTTACATTTTTTTTTTTTTACATTTTAAGTTACTACTATTATTAAATAAAGACTTTTCTTTTATTAAGTATTTTTATTCAATCAGATTAATGTTAAGGAATAGTGTAACAAACTATTTGTGGAAACTAATTTTTTTAATAATTATTAAATATGTTGTGTCCACCATTGAGAATTCATATTAGCTTAATAAATTTGATTTTTTCCATCGAAACTGGAGCAGTGTGATTAGTCAATGTCATGTATCAGATTAACATTGAAAAGTGTGTAGTGCTGCGTCACTATTGTTCTTGGGTTAGGCGTTTGTATTTATATACCTTTCTTGTGTAATGTTCGTTTTCCGTACCTGTTTTTTTTTATTTTGTAACTTCCGTTTTTTTTTTTTTTTTTTTTTTTTTTTTTTTTTTTTTTTTTTTTTTTNCTGGCGGGACTTATAAATTTCGCCATCACACGTGTGCGGTATCCTTTTTTCGGGTGGCCAAGGACTGAGACGGACGGGCTGAGGTGCGCCGGAGTGGACGAGTATTACGAGTGGACTGAAACAAAGGAAGACGAGGATTCACCACGTGCGTAATCCATTTTCATCGACGGAGCCACGTGGACAATACCAATTTTTAGACGACCCCGAAGTACAACGGGAGGTTTTTGAAGAGACGCACAGATTAGTTCAACGTTGGAATTACTTCTGTGATGTGTTTGTATAAAAAAGTAAAATTTTCTTATTCTGTATCCGCGAAGGCTAGTTAGTTATTGACGCGAGCAATTTATGTTTTATTGTGATTTTGTAGTGAAAAACCCTAGTTTATCGTTATTGACATTCATTAAATATTTCCTTATTATTGATACATGTCGTTTGTCTCATATAAAATCCTCGAGTAACAGTAGTCTTTTACCCAACTCTTTGTCTAGAGTAACCTCGGTGCCCCTGGATTACTACAAGTGCTTCTAATCAATATAGTTCTGTGACAGTACTAAATTAATTTTTTATATTTTCTTTTTTAACATATAAATCCTGCTTTGACACTCATGAATTACAATTTATTTCTGTTATTTCCTTTAATCTGAATTAATTTTTTGTAAAATATATTTTGGTTAAATGCATAATTTTTATGTTAACACATTGTACATTTGTTATTAATTTTAATTGATTAATTTAAGAACCACACATTGAGAAAACAATAACACTTTTATTGAAATAATTATTAATTTAAATAATTATAATAATATTAATATTTGAATATAAACAATATTTCATAAAAACAGATATAAATAAAAATAACATTTCATTTTAAAATAGAATGTAATTGTAATAATAATAATATAATTATATGTTTTAACATATAAACAGATTTTTAGAAATTAATCATTTACTCATTCCAAAATGAAATAATTTCCTCAGAAAATGTGGACCTTCCCAATAGCCTCTATAGTTAGAAAAAGAAACAAAATTAGTATCAAATTAAAATGAACAACAGTCAATAAAATCTTACTTTAAGAAAAATTTCCAATATAATTCAGGCATTAAATCTTTCTTTAAATGAAACATGCTTCTTCTTTCTTTTCCCTGATCAAAAGGGAATGTTTCTAAAGGCTGGAGATCATAATCAAATTCTGCCAAAACACATCGATTAAGGCTGGTTAATAAGGGACACGATGAGTAACCATCATACTGAAAGAAAATAAATCTTTTATTTTTAAAATTTCCTTAAAAATGTTTTGGTATACAATTTTAAAAGTAAAAAATTAAACAGAGCCATATTTAAAACTCAAAACCTAATTTTGGAACTTCTATCCATGGAACTTCTATCCATGATATAAAAGTATTTATTTAGAGGCATTATATATGTACAAAACAAAAATATTAGTAATGATTAATAAGATCAGGCCTCTAAGGTGAGGCCACAGCTATTAAATGCCATTAAATGGCCCTGTTGAAATTATTGCTTATTTGTTATATTATTACATTGTACAATTTGAAAATTTGCAAATTATAAATATATTATAATTTTATAATTTATATGCTTATAAATTATAAAATTTGTAATGTTTTAATCTAATTTCAAATTCTTTGTATAAAAGTTAAATGTGTATAGACAGCAATTAAAGATACTGAATCATTAGAAGTACTTAATTTTATTACAATAATGTCTATATTTAAAAACTGAATCATAGTGCCTTATTAAGTAAACATTTACCTATATTTCTAGAAACAAAATTTATATTAAACTTCACATTTCACATAAATTTCAACAATTCTGAAATTATTCTGCTTTTAAATTAATTTGTAATAGAAATATATTAAAATTTATTACTGTGAAAAATTACAAAGCAAAAACTTTATCACATCCCACTTTTTCTATTTAAAGTTAATAATATATTAGACAGCCAGATGGCCAAGCACTTAGGGTGACAGCCTTACTGCTTTAGAGAACCTGAGATCAAATCCAGAGGTGTTGGAATCTAGATCACATCCAGAGTTTTCAAACCACTCTGAATTTGATCTCAACTAGCCACCTGAAGATGGCCTGTTAGAGAACCTTTCTACTTTCAGCTAGAGAACTCTGTCAACTAGACAATCAATACTTCAAGATAGCCTATTAAAAACATTGCCATTTTCTTTAGAAGTGTTGAGCACGAGATTGTGTTATTAACCAATCACATGGCTTCTTTTCCACCTTTATTTAGCCATGTGATTGGTTAATAACACAATCTCGTGTTCAACACTTCTAAAGAAAATCTAGTACAATATAGTTTCACAACAAATGAACATTACTATTCTTTAAAACTTTACCTAATGTTAAAGATGCATTGCTTAATTCAACTGAGTAACTATAGTGGCTAGTTCATCCATAATCAGAACTATTTAGGATCATTTGGTATATGAATTAAAAAGTAATATAAAAGATTCAAAGTTAGCTTGAGTAATATATTATTTAAGCTGACAGAATCTAAAATTGATGTAAAAACAACTTAAAATTTTGGGTTAATTCCTTGGTCTTGGGAATAAAAATATAAGTAATTTCAAAAATATCAAAATTTTTTTTAGCTGAAAGTAATATTTAAGATAAACATTTAATAAAATAATCATCTTTAAATAATTTTCTGTAAATTAAAATCATAATCATATTTAAAATTACTTCAAAATCATTCATTTTAACTAAAAATATATAAAATTAAGACTAACACAATGGCTAATTTCAAAATCAAATATCTCACTTTTCTTGGTAAAGATTTTCCTTCCATCACAGCAATCATATTATTTTTCAATACCCCAACCTGAGCAGCTAGAAAATATTGATAGATCAAACCTTCAATGTACTTATGAAAAAATTTAAACAAAATATATATGTAAATCCATTCAAATAGTTTATTATTGAAAAATTTAATATAAAAATAATGCTGTTTTTATTTTAAACTTTATATCATTAATTATAAATTTAATCAACTTTGAATGTAATAAAATGTTTTAATCTCATATATTTACATTGAAACTGAATACCTAATTTAATAATATAATATACAAACCAAAATTTGAGCAGACATAATTTAATATATGTCATGTAATCATTTAAAAGAAAGTAAAAATATATTTTACTGTAAAGAAAATTTAATTCTTTGTTAAAATTTAGTTTATATACACCAATTACTCCAATTGTATTTGTTATAAAACATTCCCTTTATTGTTTCATAAAATAATCTGTTACTCTATAAATATGTTTCAAAGATAAAATTAAGTAGTTTTTTTTAAAAGAAAGAACATGTCTGATAGAAAATGTATATCATCATAAACTAGAAACNTGAATCAACTAATTTACTATTTCGCAAAGATTCATGTGGACTCATTGGTGGTACAATATGAATCATTTCATACTGAAAAATCAAAATTATAAATTTAAAATAACAAATTATATTATAAATAAAAATGAACTGAAATATATCTCTTTGACAATAATATAAATAAAAACAAACAAAAGTAACAATAAAAAAAATTATGTATATACAAAAAATAGATCTTTTATCTTTTTATTTTTAAGTTTTCTGTCAAATATGTTGTGGGCTATATTAATATATGCTGTGGGCCAGATTTGGGCACCAATGATCCCAAGGGTCATAGTTTGGGCACTAATGATCTAGATAATTATATGAATTCATTTTATTCTTAAAATAATTATTTAATTTATATGAAATAATCTAAAGTCAGAGTGAAAATTAGATTCTGAATGGATGATTACAATTATCTTTCTTCATGTTTTGTCTATATTCTTAGTTAACAGTAAATATTAACTTTCATAATTCAAAGCTTAGTCTACATAATATTTGAATTTAAGGAAGCAACCACTACACCTTGAACACCAGATAAGGTTGGAGAAATGTTCTCTTTTCAATCCAGTTAACAGATTATCTATGTCATCAGATGTAAACAGACATTAGTATTCCTCCAACTTAACCCATTGCTAAAGATGTATTGGTTACTTCATTATTAAATTAAATTCAATGGTTACTACAACTCAGATCTCTGTATAATCTTCCATTCTTTTTAATCTAAAAGTCTTTATACATATATCTTTAAAAATAAAAAGAAACTTTTATTGTAAGTACATATTTAACTAAATAAATTATTCCTAACATTTTCCATACCTTAAGTGTGAAGAATTTAATTACATTGCTTGTTTGTCAACATCACATCTATATATAATTGCCATTTTTTAAAAAGTTTTTTCTCACTTACCAACTGCAGCAGCAGTTTTTGCTTTTAAATTAATTTGTAATAGAAATATATTAAAATTTATTACTGTGAAAAATTACAAAGCAAAAACTTTATCACATCCCACTTTTTCTATTTAAAGTTAATAATATATTAGACAGCCAGATGGCCAAGCACTTAGGGTGACAGCCTTACTGCTTTAGAGAACCTGAGATCAAATCCAGAGGTGTTGGAATCTAGATCACATCCAGAGTTTTCAAACCACTCTGAATTTGATCTCAACTAGCCACCTGAAGATGGCCTGTTAGAGAACCTTTCTACTTTCAGCTAGAGAACTCTGTCAACTAGACAATCAATACTTCAAGATAGCCTATTAAAAACATTGCCATTTTCTTTAGAAGTGTTGAGCACGAGATTGTGTTATTAACCAATCACATGGCTTCTTTTCCACCTTTATTTAGCCATGTGATTGGTTAATAACACAATCTCGTGTTCAACACTTCTAAAGAAAATCTAGTACAATATAGTTTCACAACAAATGAACATTACTATTCTTTAAAACTTTACCTAATGTTAAAGATGCATTGCTTAATTCAACTGAGTAACTATAGTGGCTAGTTCATCCATAATCAGAACTATTTAGGATCATTTGGTATATGAATTAAAAAGTAATATAAAAGATTCAAAGTTAGCTTGAGTAATATATTATTTAAGCTGACAGAATCTAAAATTGATGTAAAAACAACTTAAAATTTTGGGTTAATTCCTTGGTCTTGGGAATAAAAATATAAGTAATTTCAAAAATATCAAANTGTAAGTACATATTTAACTAAATAAATTATTCCTAACATTTTCCATACCTTAAGTGTGAAGAATTTAATTACATTGCTTGTTTGTCAACATCACATCTATATATAATTGCCATTTTTTAAAAAGTTTTTTCTCACTTACCAACTGCAGCAGCAGTTTTTGAAGTAGGAACATTAGTACAGTCACCCAGACCAAATATATTTGAATATTTATTATGTTGTAATGTATATTTGTTAACATCTAAAAATCCTGTTGAATCAACTAATTTACTATTTCGCAAAGATTCATGTGGACTCATTGGTGGTACAATATGAATCATTTCATACTGAAAAATCAAAATTATAAATTTAAAATAACAAATTATATTATAAATAAAAATGAACTGAAATATATCTCTTTGACAATAATATAAATAAAAACAAACAAAAGTAACAATAAAAAAAAATTAAATAACATTTCATCTTCTACATATAATTTTAAATAAAAATATATAATCATAAACTGTCATCAATGTTCTCTACTGTGTGTGTTAATGCATATAATAATAAATGATAACATGGTATCATTTCTTCATTTCTTAACTGTCATCTCCATCCAGGAGGTTGACAACCATCAATTTCCACTAATTTCTATCTTAAGCTTTCTCGCTGAAGTCTTCATAAGATAATGTGTTTTTGATCAAATTAATTCTTTGTCTTCCTTTGACTTTTCCATCACCATTCCCTTTAAAAATATAATTTTCTACAAGCTGTTATGTCTTAGAATATGAGCTAAATAGTTAAATTTTATCATCATTAAGCCTCATTTTTTACAATATTGTCTCTAGAACATCTTTATCATTTTGTAACAGAATATAGTTTGATATTCATGCCTAATATAAGATGAGAGGAAGCAAAGATAAGTATTTTTGGTATTATGCAACAGAAAATACTGTGAAAGCTGACAAAAATTTATTTTTACTTTTTAGTACATTTATCAAATAAAAGTCATTACAGGTATACCTCGACTTACGTCGTTTTGAGTTACGTCGTTCCCGATTATACGTCGTTTGTCAAAAAAGTATACGAAAAAATAAAAATCAAGTTTAAGTCATTTTATTCGACTTTACGTCTGTCCGCCATAAATATTGAAGTCGTAATGTCACTAGAAAAGCGTTTAAAGCACATAAAATCATATTAAAATATACACATTTACAAGTATGTGTACAGTACATGCATTCGTAAATTTAGATTACTTTTTTTCTGTACTCTATTAAAAACTAAAATTTATTTGTTTGTAAGCTTAAAATAGATCCTTATTTACCATACATTATTAAAAATGCATTAATAAATAAAACACAGAACTGGGAATAGTAATTTGTGGTTTAGCCTAGTGACAAGTAGATTCGGAGACAAGTAAATTCGACTTAAGTCGTTTTCCTGGAACCAATTACCAACGTAAGGCGAGGTATACCTGTACTTTAAAATGTGTTTTTATATATTTTTATTAAAGTTTCGTTCACCTGATGACGATAAATATATTCCATGCACTGAAAGCTAGAACTTCTTTAAAGAAGTTTCACAAAACGTTTTTACACATTTTCTAGCAGTTTCTTGAGAGAACAAACATTTAATTTAAACAATTAATATAGAACCTGAATAAGGCCATTAAACATGGCCAAAAACGTTTGTTCTCTCAACAAACTGCTAGAAAATGTGTAAAAATGTTTTGTGAAACTTATGACAATGAACATAAGTTTGTTGAAAGTGCTAGTGAAAACTAAAAACTATTAATGCCACACTCAGTGTATCTTTACTTCCTCTTATATTATTATTTTTGCATGTTTTACTGAGTAACTATTGTATCATTTCTCAGGTTATCCATGCTATGATTTCTGTAGTGAACAACATGCATAATTTAATGTTACTGCTATATTTTTCTGATTATGAAAAATAACTTTAAAATAAAGTGTTATTTGTTGTTTAGTGCTGGCATAAGTACTTTGGATTATAAACATATTTAAAAAACTAGTATTCAATCAGCTTATTCATATTATTGGTAATCTTATTGTCATAAATTCATTTACTAACAACATTGTAACAATTTCTAATAACAAAAGAATTATTAAATTTAAAACAGCTGAAGAAGAGACAATTTCAAAATGAAAGATGCAAACTGTAATTTATACTTCTAGTATATTAAAATATAATGTATATTAAATTAAATATGCATATATGTAAAGAACCTTGAAAGATAAAGAAACTATTGGAGTGAGAATGACAGAGATTTGATATATTTCAGGATAATTGAGAAAAATAATTAGAAATTTAAAAAATCCAATAACATCTTGTTTTATATGGGAGTTTCATATTACAAAATATGCACAGAAAACCTAAGTCATTCCAGTAATAATGTTTTAACAAAATATGAACATTTTCAACCTCCTGAGGTCTGCATCAGGTTTAAAAATACAAGTTCTATAATGGAACATATCAAATGGAACAACTGCAGAATTTAAATTTATTAGAAGGCACCACATAAAATTAAATTCTGCATAAATATGTGTTCTGGATAACTGCTTAACACTTATGCAAGTATTTACATTTAACAGAAATATGTTGAAATGTGTTTAGAACATTTTAATTACATTTTTCCTATGTATATTGAATTTCATCATAGTGTATTGCATTAATAGTCAGAATTCCCTGTGCAACCTAACCATTCAGCATCCACAAAAATATGAATTTGTATATATTACTTATACATAAAACAAGATACTGTATAACTATACTATATAACCTATTCTAAATGACCAGCATTTAAATTTGTAATGTTTTCTAGGACATTAGGTTAAAAATCTGAAATAATATCCCAAATAGGGAATTAAATTAAATGAAATTGTTAATAATATAATATATAATTACCAAAAATATATATTTGTCATATAACAACAACATGTAATTTTGAAATAGCAACTGCACACCAGATTGAATAAAATAAATATGACTTACATGAACCTATAACCGATGTGTAACCAATGTGTAACGTAATTTCTCGCTGAAGTCTCCATAAGATAATGTGTTTTTGATTTAAATTCTATTTCATATTTTCTTCAGTATGAGATTTGGAATTCAGAGTACCATTTAGTTTGGGTTTTATCATTACCATTATCATTATCATTATTAGTGTAATTACCATTACAAGGCATGCATTACAAGGCAAAACAAACTAAGAATATTGTTCCTTAAGAGTTACCTAAATAACCTATATTTTTGGATATATCTATCAAAGTATATCAGAATGCACACATATATTATGAATAATTTTTATTGGCAATGTATATATTTTAATTTTTTTCATTAACAAAGAAATTAGTGCTATAGACTATTGAAATGAAATTATATTTGGAGTTAATTAAATGTAAAATATTCTGTAATAAAATAAAGAATACAGTTACTGATTTTCATTCATTTCTTTTAACTAAATATAAACCAAATAAACAAAAAGTGGTAAATTTTTTAATTGATTAATGTTTTGTTATATTACAAATAATCTCATTCCAATAAAATATTAACACTGTATACTGTAGTACACACTATTATATTGATTGTTAATTTGAAGTTCTGAAAAATACAGCTGTTTATGAAATTATACACACAGTAATAATTTCATTTAACTGTATATTAAATAATATCTTGGTGGTATGAAAAATTTCAAAAAAAATAGTTCATTCATATTATTAAAGGAGTGTTTGTGAATAAATAAACTATAGAAAATAGAAGAGAGTCTGCTGAGAAATAAATTAACATAATAACTGAACTATTCTTATTGAGATATTTTTAATAAAAATACACGATTTTAGATTGTTT